AGGTGGTAGTGCCAGAGGGGTTCAATCTGTTGCCCTTGCAGTTCCAGGGGACAAGGGAAAGGTGTCTGGTGTTGGTAATCAGTCCAAAGACAGCAGATCTGAATATGATGGTGAAAGGAAGTTCTGCAGATACTGCAAAAAGGATGGCCATGTTAAAGAAGAGTGCTATCGGCTGAAGAACAAGAAAGCCAGAATGGGTGAAGGAGGCAATGCATTTGCTGGTTCAGTTTCACAATCACCCTCACAGAGTAGTGATTCTGGTTCTTCGGCCAGTGGGCATTCCATGGAGAAGTCTCAATCCTCCAGCTCACTTAGCCTCACTGATGATGAACTTGTCAAGCTCAAGTTCCTTCTGCAGCAGTCTGATAGCATGAGTCCCTCTCCACCTCTCTCACCATCAATCAAACATGCTGCATACTCAGTCTCTCAGCACTTACCATCACTGCCTAATTTCTCTGGTAAATATGTTCTCACTTCTCATCTAGAACAAGGTCTTCTAGCTTTAGCACAGAACTGGATATTGGATACTGGTGCTTCTGATCATATAGCATGCACCTTGTCTTTCTTCCTTAATGTCATCCCTGTTTTGAATCAATTTGTTTATTTGCCAACTGGTTCAAAGGTCCCAGTCAGCCACATTGGTTCAGTAAAACTTTTTTCAGGACTTGTTTTGCACAATGTCCTGCTTGTTCCTTCTTTCACCTTCAACCTAGTCTCTGTCAGTAAACTTACCAATGACCTTCCCATTTCTTTACACTTTGAATCTGACTCTTGTCATATTCAGGACCTCTTAACAAAGAACCAGATTGGTTTGGCAAGACAGACTAGAGGACTCTATCAACTCCTTCCTACACCAAGCCTTCCTTCTCTTCCTCAAGTAGCAGCCACCTACAATTTCCAGCCTCATTCCTTTGAGCTTTGGCATTGGAGACTAGGCCACCCCAGTCAAGCTAGAGAACAAAGAATCCTTGGTTGTAATAGGAGTCCAGTTATTCATTGTTCTACCTGTCATTTGTCAAAACAGAAAAAGCTTCCTTTTCCCATTAGTGACAGTAGAGCAAACTCAGCTTTTGATTTAATTCACGTTGACATTTGGGGACCTCTTGCTGTGAAGTCCCATGATGGATTTTCTTATTTCCTTACATTGGTTGATGATCATACTCGAAGTGTTTGGGCTTATTTGATGAAGCATAAGTCAGAAACTAGTGAACTTTTACAGCATTTCTGTGTGATGGTGCATAAGCAGTTTGACAAAGCAGTTAAGGCCATTAGAAGTGACCAGGGCAATGAATTCCACATGCTGGATTTTTATGCACAACATGGCATTGAACATCAAACCTCTTGTGTAGAAACCCCTGAACAGAATGCACGCGTTGAAAGAAAGCACCAGCATATACTTAATGTAGCTAGAGCACTTCGTTTTCAATCTAACCTACCTCTTTCTTTCTGGAGTGACTGCATCACACATGCAGTTTACTTGATCAATCGACTTCCATCACCAGTCACCAGCAATGTTTCCCCTTTTGAGCTCCTCTATCAAAAACCTCCCTCACTTAGTCACCTCAAAGTATTTGGCTGTCTTTGTTATGCCTCAACTTTGCTTCGAGATAGGACTAAGTTTGATTCACGTGCTAGGCAGTGCATTTTCCTTGGCTATCCACCTAGCACTAAAGGGTACAAGCTCTTTGATTTAAACACTCACCAATATTTTGTTTCACGGAATGTGGTCTTCTATGAACACATTTTACCCTACAAACCTTCCTCTTCTTTCTCTCCTTCTACAACTGATCCAATTGCAGTCCCTGATCCCATTTTTCCTATCACCACACCATTACCTCCTGATTCCTCTTTCTCTTCTTTCCCTGCTTCTTCTTCTCAGAATGCTCCCTTTTCTTCTTCTGAACCTAGCTCTAGCACTGAGATGCTTGATTTGGACAGTGTGCATTCTGATGGGGGAGATGAGCCTGAATTATGTGGTCAAGAAGAGATTGAGGAAGGCCAGGCAGCAAATGAATTGAGGAAATCTGATAGAGCCAAACAGATTCCAGTTTGGCACAAAGATTATGTGTTCTCTGGTACTGTCAGTAAGCACTCTATGCAGCATGTTTTGTCCTTTGATCAACTTCCTCAAGCCCATAAGTCATATGTGTTAAATGTGATGAGTGCTATTGAACCAAGAACTTATGAGGAGGCATGTAAGGAGCTGTGCTGGAGAAATGCCATGACTGCTGAATCAGAAGCACTTGATGCTAATCAAACATGGGATCTGGTCATTCCTCCACCAGGTGTGAGACCAATTGGATCAAAATGGGTATACAAAATTAAGCATAGATCAGATGGAACAATTGAGAGGCACAAGGCAAGGGTTGTTGCTAAGGGGTTCACTCAGATTTATGGTATAGATTTTTTGGATACCTTTTCACCTGTTGCTAAGATAAACTCAGTAAAAGCATTACTTGCAGTAGTTGCTTCTAAGGATTGGCACATACATCAAATGGATGTGTCCAATGCCTTTTTACATGGTGATTTAAATGAAGATGTTTATATGAAGGTGCCCCCTGGAATTCCAGTCCCTGATAAGAGGATGGTATGCAAGTTAAAAAAATCCTTGTATGGATTAAAGCAAGCTAGCAGGCAATGGTTTGCCAAGCTAACTGCTTCATTACTGAAGAATGGGTTCTCACAGGCTGCTGCTGATTATTCCATGTTTGTTAAAAGGGTCCAAGGGAGAATGCTTGTTGTGCTAGTGTATGTTGATGATATTTTGATTGCAGGAAGTCACCTGGGAGATGTTGAACAGGTTAAGCTTTATCTAGGAAGGGAATTTAAGGTTAAAGACCTTGGTCAATTGAAGTTCTTCCTAGGTTTGGAAATATACAGAGATCACAGAGGCATTTTTGTCAATCAGAGGAAATATTGTGTGGATCTTTTAGAAGATGTGGGATATGTTGAAGCCAAAGACTGCCTTTCTCCAGTTGATTACAAAGTTAAGTTATCTGCCAAACAAGGTGAGCCTTTGCCTAATCCTGAGGTGTATAAAAGACTCATTGGCAGACTTCATTATCTGACCATTACAAGGCCAGATTTGACCTATGCTGTACAGCAGCTTTGCCAGTTCCAGAAAGACCCTTACACTGAACATCTTCAAGCTGCTTTCAGAGTGTTGAGATATTTGAAGCATGCTCCAGGCCAGGGTTTGTTGTTTAAAGCAGGAACCAAGTTGGAGTTACAAGGGTTTTCAGATTCTGATTGGGCAAGTTGTGTTGACACAAGAAGGTCAGTGACTGGTTATTGCACTATGCTTGGTGAATGTTTGCTGTCTTGGAAGTCAAAGAAGCAAACTACAGTTTCAAGATCTTCCTCTGAAGCCGAGTACAGAGCATTAGCTCAGTTGGTGTGTGAACTTCAATGGATCAGGAGTCTCTTGGCAGAAATGGGAGTCAGTATACCTTTACCAATCGAAGTTTTCTGTGATAACAAGTCAGCCATTCATATTGCTGAAAATCCAGTTTTTCATGAGAGGACTAAGCATATTGAAATTGATTGTCACATCACTAGGGAAAGGTTGAAGTCTGGCATGATCAAGTTAAGCCATGTGAGAACTGATGATCAATTGGCTGATCTGTTTACTAAGGGAGTTACACGTTACAGGCTTTCTTATTTGCTTAGCAAGTTGGGAGTTACAGACATGTACTCGCCAACTTGTGGGGGAGTGTCAGAGAAGAAGAATGTGTTTGAAGATCGTGATCAGCAGAAGGATTGAAGAAGGAGTTCTGGTTGCTGATGAAGAGAAATGCAGAGTTGCAGAACGAAGGAAGAAGACAGAGCAATACGGCAGCGTCTTGATTATTAGCCGTTTTATTTGTTTCCAGCTTATAACGCAGTGCCACGTGTAGGCCTACGTTTACTCTATTTAAATTACCGTTGTATGACGTTATTTACTGTGCTACTTTACTGAGTACAAAAGGCAGCAGGTGGATCACTTTCCCCTCTGCGATTCCAGCTCCAATTCATCGCCATTTCTAAATCTCTCTCTCTTTCTTCTCTCGACTGCTAACCCTAGCAGCTCTACAAACGTTTTAGGACGGAAGGGAGACAAACTTCTGTTATTAGTTTTCCCATTTGAATTTTAAGGAGCAGCCGTCTCAAATAATATAGTTTACTTTAATTAGTTTTCATTTAATTTTTAGTTTTATCTTTTTATTATTTAACATTAGGAATGTGATAATCATTTGGATGAGCAATTCTAACGAATCAATTTGATTCAATTGTTTCATTTTGAGACAAACTAGTCAAATTGATCCATTTGACAGCACAAAATATGAAGCAATTATGTATGGAGAATTTCAAATGACTCATTTTGAGACAATTAAAAATTGTCTGGTGCGGGGTAGACAATTCAAATTAACTCGATTTCATTATATCTTATACGGATTTCATACGTGTTTATTACGGGAGCCATGAAATGATTGAAAAAAATGAAACTGTTTGACTGTAGTACAAAAGTGAAAGTTCTATATGTATAAAATATGAAGTTTGTATATGCCTATTAAATGGAGTATATACTATTTAACTAGACCATGAAAAATCAAAAGGCAAAACACAAATTTTATAACAAGGGGATATAAAAAAAAAAATTGGTGAAATATAAATTTAACGGAAGTAACCCTAAATCTAAATATTAATTAAATGAAAGAATGAAAAGAATGGAAGCTATTTCCGTTCCATCTCCTTAATTGGAAAAAGAGAATAAGTTAATGACAGAAGTTAATTAGCCTCCGTCCGTCCCCTGTTCCTTCCCCCGTCAGTTTGCGATTAACAAGTATTGGAAATTATCTATTGGCCACAGTGCTGGTTCATTAATAAAAGTCTCTCCAGGTTTGGATAAAAAAAAAAATTATCTATTGGCCAAATCAATATGTGCCACTTGGATTGGCAGCCGCTACCAGCAGCAACCCAGGTTGCAGCCAAATTTTGCCCGTTGTACCCTATCCGCTCCCATTATTATATATTACGCACGCAAAATATGAATTCCAAATCGATGTGGTACAAGACAACAGCCATTCGTTTCTCCATGACCAATTATCTAGTCTTCGCTTCTTCTCTTCCAAACACAAACCCTGCCGCCGGTAGCTCTTCCTCTCCGTCGCCACTCCCCAGAACCACCGGCCTCCCCGCCACTCCCCAGAACCCAATTAAACCCAGAGCTCCTCTAATCCTCCAAGCAACAACTTCCAGCAAGACTACCCTCAAGAAGAGTAATAATGCAAACAGCAAACTTCTCCGGCAGCAATTCAAGGTTCTGAGGGTCGAGCGCGCGATTGGCGCCGGAAGCTACCGCGACGCCGAGCCTCCCGGCGCTGCGGAGGGCCGCGGGTCCGGGATTGCCGAGCTGTGGTTGGAATCGGAGGACGGCAGCAACCGCAGTACCAACCCTTTCGAAGGGCCGGTGGAGAAGAAGATCAGGGAGACGGGCGAATGGCTCGCGTATAAAACAGAGAACGAGTTTCGAATTTCAGGTTCGAATTTCAGTTTCTCGTTTCTTCTTTGCAGCCGAATCGATCGATATCGTCAACACAGTATAAATACTCTAATTATCTATTGCAGATATCGAATTGGGTTGATTGATTGTTTTTGGGTGTTTTGATTTGGGGGTTTTTGGTGTAGAGAAACAGAGCCTGACGTTGTTGTACAAATGGGCTCTCCCAATCTCACTACTGGCGATGATGGTGGCTGTGGGAGTCGTCAAGCTTCCATTTTTGTCTCCCTTGCTTGATGATTTCATCATGTAATGTTCTGCTGCAAACCCGGAGCTGGAGGGGGTTCTCATTAAGGCCAGTTATCCCTTTGGTTTTCCTTCCTGATCTTTATATATATAGATACATGAAATGTATGTGAAGTTGTGAGCTCCGTGTATCAAACATGATATTTAATAAAAAGAGGTTAAATGCTAAACGTTTGAGATTTTGATGTTGCGAATAGAATGATATGGGAAGGAGACAATGGGAAATTCTTGAAATACCAGTGATATATGGGAATGAAGTTTTGGATTCGGTCGATCGATTTGATTTAATATGTTGATAATCATTTTAATTGTTTTCTCAATCGAACCAAGTGAAACTGAATCAAACAAAATGATGTGGAGGTTGGAATAACCCAACAGGTCCAACTACCATAGCTGAACCGATGCAATGATTGAGTTTTTTTTAGTGAATCATTGTAATGGTTGGGGTGTGACCACCCACCCGAGAAGTCACATCCCTTCACTCATACCCCTTCATTTTATATAATTACACCTACCCCTGTGTTTTGACATACACAAGATTACCCAAGAAATTTTTGACCGAAAGAAAGACAAAAGAGGTTTTCTTCATCATTGTATTTCCTCTCTACAAACACATAAAAGAAACAGAGTCGTGTGCCTTGTCGCTGTTCGTTGATCTCATTAGTTTCTGGGGTTCCAAGTATCGTACACTAGAAAAGGTACGTGTGTTTTATCCTAGAAGGAATAGTTCCATAACCTTGGATACCGTAGACGGGAATTAAATTTTGTTGCATATCAGTCTCCTTGTTAGGATTGGTTATTATTATTAGTAGTAGTAGATTATTGTTTCTTAGTCCACAAGTGGCAATTAGTAGAGTCCTAATAGGAAAAGGCTAGTTGGCGGCCATACTTGGCCGAATGGGTTAGGATCGGCTATTAGGTATAGGGTTTGTTTTTAGGCCTAATACCAGAAAAAGGCCTATAGTTTGGACTTTCTGACAATTGTACCCCTATGTTTATCATGCGTCAGTTATGTCTCAATGTTTAATTTCCGTTAACTTTGACTGTTAGTAGTCAATGATCAAAATTTTGACCGATGTGGCATATGATGTGGATTTTTTGTCATGTCACTTAATATAAATTAAATAAAAAATTAATCCATAAAAGTAAAATTACTTATTAATAAAGCAAGCCCAACCGCCATCATTGATCTCCGTCCTCTTCGCCGTCAGTGGCATCAAGCAAGCACCACCGTCCTCGACGACACCGCCAATCCGCCATCATGTGGATCTCCGTCACAATCCCCGCCGCCATCGACCATCCGGACGAGGTCCCCAAGCTCCAGCATCCAGTCGCCGTTACCATCGAACTCCCCGATTTCCTTCTCCGCCTCCTCCTTCAAAATTGCCTCCCCGTCATCGATGCGAAGTACATCCCTAGTTCTTCCTTCCCGGCTTATACCTCCTTTCCCCTGTACATCCCAAAATAAAAATCCAACCAAACCCCCTCCGGCTTCCTGCGTCTCTTCTTCCCCTTTGACCTTTCTATTGAACCCCAAAAGGGAGAAAATCCCAAATTGGTGAACCATTTTAGAGGTCGGCGGATTCATCTCAATTCATCACATTTCTTTTGATCCTCCTCAATGAAGAGTTTGATTGGAACAGAGGTCAGACCTACCGGCTGGAGCACGACGATTCTTTCTCTGCTTGTTGTTGCGATAGGAGCTTGCTGCGGCTGCCTTTCATCGCTGTCGCCGCTGCTTCTTTAGATCCGTCGGCTAGAATGCTCTGTTCTTTGAAAAACCAGAAGGCGTGTTCGAGTCGACCCAACGCAAGCGACACCTTTGCCTCCAGCTGATTTGTCGGCTTTTCTTTCGATGTCGACGCTGACTGCGTTTCTCGTAGATTGGTCGGGGGAATTAACAAGGGGAAGGTGAGTATAAATGGGTTTGGATTAACAATTGAGAAGGAGAAGTGTTTGTGGGTTTGGATTTGGGGAATAGATGAAATGGAGGAGAACAAATTCAAACTAGGTGGATTACAGGAAGCTATTGAGTTTCCATGTTGAATCAGAAGGTTGCAGCAACGGTGACGAAGGAACAAGGAAATCTTTAGCAGAGGTTATTGGATAGGAAGATGAGGGGTTTATTTTAATTATTTATTTATTAATTGAAAAATATATAAAATATTAGCAGGAAATGAAAATAAATATATTGTACTCATTTAAAATATTATTGTTGATGATGTGGCATTTTTCACAAGTGACATGTTGGTAGGGGTGGGCGTTCGGTCGGTTCGGTTTAAACCGAACCGAAATAGTATATGCCGAATTTCCGAATTAGCCTGCACCCCAACCGAATTCGAACCGAGCTATAATTCGGTTCGGTTTGACCGAACCGAGTTATATTCCGGTTCGGTTCGGGTTACCTACCTATTCCGAACTTCCAGACCCCTCCCTCAAATCTCTCTCTGCCATTAATCCGCCTCCCACTCCCATTTTCCTCTGCCCGTCAAACTACTCCCTCCATCTCCCTCTGCTACTTTCCCTCAAATCTTGCTTTCATTAATCCTCCTCCCACCTCCTCCTCTTCCTTCTCTACCGCCGTCCAGAATCACCGTCGACCAACTCTCCCTTCCGCTCCCCCCTCTCTTCTCTTCTCTCCTCTGCGACTTTGACTGCTGCGAGGGTGGAGAGAGATGAGGCGCGCCGCCGTTGCATGCCACCATGGATCTGGAATAGGATGTCCCCACCGTCCGCCGCAGAAGAGGCGCCCCGCCGTTGCATGTCGCCGCCGCCCGCCGCAGAAGAGGCGCCCCGCCGTTGCATGCCGTCGTGGATCTCAGATAGGGTACCGCCGTAGACAACGACATGGCACAGCCAATATCGTGAACGGCAGGAACAGATCTAGATCCCGCCTTGGTAAATCCATTATGTTTTTGTTTAATTCAAATGTTTTGTATGCTTTTGCCAATCTGTGATTTTTGTTTTTGGTTGGTTTTCTGAGTTTGGTCGGCGATGAGAAGAGAACGGAGAGAGGGGAAGGTGATGGACTCCAGTGGCCGGCGAGAGGCAGCCGTTGGCGGTAGCGCATGTACGGCAGGGGATGGCGAAGGCAACGAGGAAGGACTTTGTAAGAAGAAGAAGATTTTTGGTCTGGGCTAGGGTTTTAGTGGTAGACTTTTTCTAGTGGGCTTGGGTTTGTGGGTTTCTAATTGTTGGTTGTGTGTGTTAGAGTGGGCTTGTAATTGTGGGCTGTGTGTGGAAGCCTGGGAGGGGGATGAATTTCGGTTTGTTCGGTCGGAATTCGGAATTTCGGGTTCGGTCGAGCGACCCTGGTTTCCGAAGTGTAGAGTTTTGCCTTCCGAATTTCGAACCGAGTTACAATAGTTCGGTTTCGGTTCGGTTCGGTTCGGGTTTACCGAACCGGATGCCCACCCCTACATGTTGGTGCGACATCATAGTTAGTCAAATTAACTTTGACCGTCGTTTGGTCAACTGTTAAGTTTAACGGTCAACAAGATGACGGAGGACATTTTTGACATGGATACTATAACCGTTGGGACATAACTGACGCAAGATAAACATAAGGGTACAAGTGACAGAAAGTCCAAACTATAGGCCCTTTTCTGGTATTAGGCCTTGTTTTTATTATAAATATGTACTTTACGGTGCAGTTATTATCACGAGAAAAAGAATAAATTAGTTTTTCGCAGCTTTTATCTTTCGTAGAGGCAATTTAGCTATTTTTGCCATATTTGAGAAAATTTATACGCAACAAATTGGTATCAGAGCCTGGTTGCGAGGAACCGAGCTCGACGAGGCTTGCATACAGGGACCGTGATTACGAGGAGACCCTTTCTCGTCGCATCAATGGTTACCCTAGCTATTGGGATTGGGCGCTGTCGCATCCGCCATTGACAACCTATTCATAATCGCATCACCCGTCTTGGTAGTATCGACCATATTCCGTTCAAGATCGGTCACCGTACTTGTCGGGATGGGAGGTCTTTTAAGTTAAATAATGACATTGGTTTCCTCACCTAATCAAACACCCCAAAAATTCAACTTCCTCTTCCACGTTGACCAAGAGTGGGATGTGGCAAGCTAGCATTTTCTCACCAAAGGAACCCAACTACGTACACATCAGCCATGCAATGCTCATTACATGCATGAGGTGGGTGTTTTATAAATTGTTTTTCCTTATAATTATATCAAGCAATCGTTCTCAATAGCCAACTCACTCACAAGTGGACAAGAAAGGTACAATAGTTCGTCCTTCAATTGGTTGGTTAGTGGTTCCTTTTATTTCACTCAAACTACAATAATCATTTTTCCCGTATCAATACACGATGGAAAAAGAGATGGAAAAATGAGGATTCCCTTATATCAGCCACCACCGAAACCCATTTCCCGTTTGGCTACACGTAAGTCAACATAGAGGAAAGGATTGTGTTTCTTTGGCCATCAAACAACTTTCCACCACTTTATACTTTGCCTAACAGAACATATAAGTTTCAGTGGGTTTCTTTCTTTCTTGCATAATATATTACTAAATTTTTGTTGTGTGTTTGTTAACCACCCGACCATCCATTACAGGTTGGTTGGGAGATAAATACATTTTTTATATTACTTTATTCTTTATATGTCACCCGTGTCAGAAGTAGGAGATATTTATAAACATGACGCTCATTTATGCTTTCTTGACAGTTCATTTTCGGGTTGAACTCTAAATCTCTCTAGAGTCGGCTCAATACGTCACTCCCAGTTACTCTCCTCTCAATACTGACTTGAGCTTTGGAGCAGGCATCCTCTGACCACCACCGACGGGTCTTTTTTTGCAGGTGTCCATCTCGTAGGCTGGTGGCAAGATGTTGGTCAGGAAGGTCATCGCTCACCGAACCTCAAACACATTGAAGCAGGCTTCTCCAAACTTAACATCAACAATTAGCGCCCATCATGGGGCCCAGTGAGATTAATACCAACAAATCGTCAATCCAACAAGACAGGATGGACACAAAAGATCTGCAATCTGAAGTCGATATTTGTTTAGATCCCATTCCAAACATCTATCAAATTAATATTTCCAAGGATCGAGGATCTCCCAACCAAGATTGAGCGGTGCCCATCTTTTGTTCACAACCGAGGGCGCTCAACCCCCACTGGTTCCTCAGTCGACCACCCGTAAGCCACAGGACTCATTGAGTCCTTCAATGACCAACCTAATGATGCACTGACATCAACAAATTGGCACCTAGATTGTGGTCTAATGAATAGTTTCCACCAACAATCGGCGTCCACCCCGCCCGATGAGAAAATATCCAAATCATCATGGTCAACTGGGAGAGATGGTGGAGAAACAAGATATGGTATAATTGACAATGAGACCGAGGGGGCAGCAAGTACACCTCCATCAACAAGATCAATGGTTCAATTCCCTACACATTCATCGTTATGAGAAAAAAGATCTACTTTTTCACCTACACCACTCTGCCTCCCATCTCTTTCGAATCCATCATCACCAAATTGGCATGGGAACTTCTTCCCTTCTCATGATCCAATGGAGAAAAAAAGTATGTGAAAGTTTTTACAAACTCAAAAACTATATGGTAACCCCTCCTAAACTCTCATTTATACTTGATATCAAAATTCTCCTATGATGTTGCATAACCCAAACTATTGTCCTCATCACTCATACACGGACAACACTAAACATACAACATAAGGCTGCAATGATTGGCATTGGTCGCATGCAAGAAGTGGTTTGGTTCGTGTACCACGGTTGGCACGACTCTCCATGGTTTCCCACCAGATTGGTGTGGTCTGTCTGTCATAATCGACACGGCTTTCCATGATCACTTGCCACGATGGTGCATCCCATCAACCACGATTAGCATGACTCTCCAATAATTGCTTGCGCAATTTATGTTGATTTTGCATAAACATCAGCCATGCAATGCTCATTACATGCATGAGGTGGGTGTTTTATAAATTATTTTTTCCTTATAATTATATCAAGCAACTATTCTCAATAGCCAACTCACTCCCACGTGGACAAGCAAAGCAAACTTCTTCGTCCTATCAATTGATTGGTTAGTGGTTCCTTTTATTTCACCCAAACGACCATAATCCTTTTTTCTCATATCAATACACGGTGGAAAAGGAGGTGGCAGAATGAGGATTCCCTTATATCGGCCACTACCGAAACCCATTTTTCCTTTGGTACACGTAGGTCAACATAGAGGAAATGGTTGTGTTTCTTTGGCCATCACACAACTTCCCACCACTTTATACATTGCCTAGCGGAATATATATGTTACTTGGGTTTCTTTCTTTCTTGCATAATATATTACTAAATTGTTTATATGTGTTTGTTAACCACCCGACCATCCAAGTTGGTCACCTCATGATAAAAATATTGAAGAAGAAAGGCCGAATAGAAGCCATCATCGTCCAAATGAGTCTCAACCACATGTGGCGCAAGCAAAAGTTGGAATTACTCTTAATTCGTGTTTCATATTTCTATTATTTCAATTTTATTTGCAGACATGATTTGTTATTTAGTTTTTATTGAATGAAAATACACGTTCTCTATTTAAGTTTCCTTTTGTGTTGTACAAAATAATCTTCACGAAAATGAAGAACGAGAGGAGTTTGTAGTACATCACAATAACCAAATCTAACTCACAATCAACCCTCCAACAAATCCCAACCTTTTTCTAACCTTTTTCTGGAAAAAAAAACTCAACCATAACCAAGCTGTGTAAGACATCCCTTTAAGAATGTCAGTTGATCTTTTTTGAGAGGGAGAAAAAAGAGAGGGTTGTAAATGGTTATTTTGGTGAGAAACTATGGTTAAAAAGAATCCTCACCGCCCCTAATATTTTTCTAAAAAGAGTAAATAGAGAGAAGTCTCTTCCAAAAAAATCTTATTTGCTAAAAAGAAGAAGAAAAGGAGCATTCCATCTTTCCCAAATACTTCTGTCTTTCTTTCGCTTTGATTTCCCATTACTCGCGGGGTCTCAAGAGACCCTGCCCTCTCCTGCCCTCTTCTCCCCATCATTCTCAACCTTTCCAATTCTCTCTCTACCATCTCATATCTTCTTTCTCTCTCTTCCATTTCTTCCCACCTTGTTTTTTTTCATTCTGTTCTTTGGTGAGGTGGGTTTGTAGCAGAGCCCTCCTATGCTTTTGGCCAATGTAAACTTCATAAGGGAAAGAAAGAAATTGACAAACAAAAATTCAAATATTTTTGTTATGTTTGTGGGTCCTGGTTGGTGACAATCACCTGCGTCTATTTACATAATAATAATAATAACTATTATTATTGAGTATTATAACCGAGAGGAGCCTCAAAAGATTGGTGTTTCCCTTTGATCATAAAGGGCATCATAATCAGATGATGAATTGTTTCCCTTGTTTCCAGTCTCAAAAGAGTAGGAAATCTGCAAGCAAAAGGGACATTGCCTCGCCTCCTTCAGAACCTGTTGAGGCTGGTAAGGCCATTTCCTCGCATTCATTTTTTTCTTTTACTCATTCATTGAATTTCAATAAGAATGAAAAAATGATTTCTTAAAACATACTAGTGCGTCATTGTTTGATTCCCCCTTCCCCTACATATTGTGTAGAGCCAAAGAAACAAAAACCCGGAGATGAGGAAGTCGGAGGAGGAGGAGGACCACCCAATGGTGGTGTGGCACAAACATTCACCTTTCGCGAGCTTGCCACTGCCACTAAGAACTTTCGACAAGAATGCCTCTTGGGCGAAGGTGGGTTCGGACGAGTCTATAAGGGCACACTTGCTTCCAATGGCCAGGTTTGAAAAACAAATTTTCGTCCTTATAATCTCGCCTACATACCCTCATAATATATAATAAATTATTGATATGATATGCTATGAATGAATAAATGCTAGGTGGTTGCTGTGAAGCAACTTGACAAGCATTCTCAAGGAAGCAAAGACTTTGTGACGGAGGTGAACACCATTAGTGTCCTCAAGCATCAGAACCTAGTCCAATTGATAGGATATTGCTCCGATGGAGATCAAAGGCTCTTGGTGTTTGAATATATACCTAATGGCTCCCTTGAAACTCACCTCCTTGGTATATTTTAACCTTTAATTCTCTTCTGCCAACTTCATTTAATATATTGAACATCAAAAGTTTGAATCTCTGTTTGGTATTGAATGTTGTTAAGAGATGACGCCAGAGAAAAAGCCAATGGATTGGATTACAAGACTAAAGATAGCATATGGAACTGCAGAAGGTCTATCCTACTTGCATCTCCAAGCGAATCCTCCTGTTATCTATAGAGACTTGAAGCCTTCCAACATTTTGTTGGATGATGATTTCAACCCTAAACTCTCAGATTTTGCATCGGTAAGCTTTGGCCCTGATGGAGATAGTAAGTTCCCAATTCAATCCAGGGCAATGGGCACCTATGGCTATTCTGCTCCTGAATACTCTGGGGTCGGCCAACTCACCTCCAAATCTGATGTCTATAGCTTCGGAGTCATTCTGTTAGAGCTCATCACCGGGCGCAGAGCCATTGATACCACCAGACCAAATGACGAGCAAAACCTTGTTCAATGGGTAATCATTGCAATCAACAAAATTGCTACTTTTTTATTTTAATTTGTTTCCTATTAATATTCATCATAGTAAAAAATTAATTAAGGGATACAAACTAGTTTCAGGGGCATGTACTACCATACTGTATCCCCTGACTTCCATGTATATATTTTGCAGGCCCAACCGATATTTAGAGACCCAAAGAGATTTCCGGACATGGCAGACCCATTGTTGAGGAAGCAATTCCCGGAGAAAGATTTGAACCAAGCCGTCGCAATTGCAGCCATGTGCCTCCAGGAGGAGCCTGGAGCGCGTCCTCTGATGAGCGATGTGGTTATGACTCTAAGTTTCCTTTCCACGAATCCATCAGACATTCCTCCGCCGTCGACTCCTCCTCCAGCAGAAGAGAAATCGAGCAGGGGAAGCTCCGACGACGACGACAGCGGAAGCGATTACGACGATGATGAGTACCACCATGCCGGACGAGACGAATCCGAGGAAGATGACGAAGAGGAATACAGGAGTTCCGATTTCAGCGACGCTAGCAGTTACGATGACGAGGAAGGAGGTCAACGTGTCGGCTCGACCGATGGGGATGGGGAAGGTGCGAAGATTGACGGCGGCCGGTCTTCGCGGCGGAGGAACAGTAAAAAAATTAAGGACAAAGGGTCGATGAGCAGCCGAAAAGGCGGTAAAAAGGTGAAAGGGAAACACAAAGGGTCGGCGAGCGGTGAAAATTCTTAGGTTTTAACTTAATTAATTGTTTTCAAAACCAACAACCATCTTGAGAGCGTCTCTTCTCTCTCTACTGGAGAAATGAAGAAAGTAAAAAAAAATGATATTTATGTTGATAAGATGATTTGTTGGATTGGCTGGAGAGGGGGGAAAATGAGGGAAAATTGAATATGAGGATGAAGGAGAAAAAAGAAAAATGGCTGGTAGGGAAGCACAAAATGTGGAATGGAAGTCTTTCGTATTGAATTTTATGTAGTTTAATTTCCATTTCCTTGTACTATCCACAATTTTCTTTGATCATATGCCACTTAACCCTTGTTCGATTTCATTTCTTCCAAAATTTTATTTCAAATTTGAACCTGTTTAACTAAAGACGATAAAAGCCAAGTTATTCCTCGTAACTTATTTTATTTTAGTCGCGGCGTGTGTTGGTTTGAATTTTTTAGTTAATTGATTAAGCTCTATAACTTTTCGAATGACTACACCTCGGTATAGCTCAAACCTTTTCAGAGAAAATTCTAACAAGAGTAGTTGATGTCTTTCTTAGAGAATCTCTATTAAGTTACACGGGCTCGTTTGCGTCGTGGATTTGAAAAATGAAGGTTTTGATATAATTTGGGTTTTGAAAAACCATGGATAAATGAGGGTTTTAGGTTCATTATGGATTTGATAAACACCATTGTTTGTTTGATGGATTTCATGATGGATTTTGTTTATTAAATTTGTATGTATGAAGTGTAATTTACCTTTATTGCCCTTAATGATATAAGAAGAGAAAACAAATATGAAGGGTATGTTGGTAAAAAATGATGGACTTCAAAGTCCATGATCAATTCCCACCTAAATAGGTGGAACTTTCAAATCTGTGGGGTCCACGGATTTGGTCTCTTAAAGTTCGTGGGACCCACGGATTTGTTTCCCCTAAATGCATGAAGCAAACAATGGATTTTGGACAAAGTCCATGATGGATCCAAATCCTTCACCAAATCCTTCACCAAACAATGGATTTGTTTCCCCTACAACTACTTTAACACTTATGAACAATAATTTATGGAAAGAGAGCTCCAAAGAATAAATACATAAACAAAGTGTAGAACTTGAAAATGTGTCATCATTTAGGTGATTGTACCATCTCCACAAGTTGACTAAGGTTCAACCTGGCAAGTGCCAACAAATACATAAGGTCGAGAACTTGGGTATGAAAACTTGAGCCAGATGAGGATATCATCCTAATCAACGAGGAACTCCTTTTCAATCCGTTTTGGAAACTTTGGAATTGAAGGTGATAAGTTTTAGGCATAATACACTTGTATAGTCAAAACTTTCGCGTTTTTGCCAATAGTAGCCAATTTTAGAGAAATCCCACTAATAGCTACTTCCGTCCAATTCTTTAACGGTGTCAGCTAACAAGCTGACTAGACTAACGACTTTGCTTATTTGGCGACATTTCATCAACAACACTGCCACATAGATTAATAAAAAATAAATTTAATGAAAATAAAAAATAATTAAAAACCATTTAATAAAAAGCTCCACTTGCACCAAAAACCAAAAATAAAAAAAACCCAATCTCTCCACCTACCCTATGCTCCATCATCGTCCCCATTCTCCACTGCTCCAAGAACCCCAAAACCTTCTCCCCTTCAAAGCCAAAAACCCAATCAATCTCTCCACCTAGGGGTGATAAACGGTTAGTCGGTTATCGGTTTTAACCGATAACCGAACCGATAAAGTCGGTTAGTGGTTAACCGATAACTGCTACTTCCTTATTGATTTCGGTTTCGGTTAGTAGTATTTTGGTTAGTGGTTAACCGCTAACCGATTAATCGGTTAGTGGTTAACCGCTAACCGATTAATCGGTTAGCGGTTAACCGATAAGAAAACCGATAACCGACTACTAGTGTAACTACATGGTTTTTTACTTTGGCTAAAGGAAAAAGTTGTAAGATTCAAAACCAATCAAAGTTGCAATTCCAAACATCCCAATTCTCACCTATTGCAAACAATCCTCCATCAAGCGTCTCAAATGTTTTTAAGAGTTAGAACTCGAAAGTCACCCCTCTCTAAATCCCCTTTGCACTCGATAGAGTGAACCTTAGGTTGATGACTATGGGCTAGATGAAGATCTTGGAGTAAATGATGATTATGGGCTATATGAATTGGAGCGAGATCCTCGGATCATTTAGGTTGATGATTTGGAGATAATGAACTTGTTATTTGTGTCTTGTTGTGATTGTGACTTGTTGTTGAATTGTGGGCATGTAGACTTTATGTTGTGGAGTTGTGGTTGAATTGTGTGGTTGCTTTAGGCTTTATGTTCAATTGATTTAGATGACTTTATGGTGTGTGATTATAGAGGCTTAAACAAAAGCAGGTCACTCAAAATTGAGGGTGAATCATTAAAAAAGGTGGTTGAAATTCGGTTTTGGGTGGTCGGTTTCTGAAAGAAAATCGAGAAAGTGAACCAGAACCTGCGGTTTCGGTTAACCGCAAGGGAAAACCGAAACCGATGTTTGCGGTTTTCGGTTAACCGAAGTCTCTATCGATTTCAGTTTCGGTTAGTGATCTTGGGACAATTTTGGTTGCGGTTAACCGATATTTCGGTGCGGTTAAACCGAAACCGCACCGACTAACACCCCTATCTCCACCTACCTTCTGCTTTCGTATTAAATTTTATGTAGTTTAATTTCCATTTTCCTTGTACTATCCACAATTTTCTTTGATCATGCCACTTAACCTTGTTCGATTTCATTTCTTCCAAAATTTTATTTCGAATTTGAACCGGTTTAACTGAAGACGATAAAAGCCAAGTTATTCCTCGTAACTTATTTTAGTCGCGGGGTGTGTTGGTTTGAATTTTTTAGTTAATTGATTAACCTCTATAACTTTTCGAATGACTACACCTCGGTATAACTCAAACCTTTTCGGAGAAAATTCTAACAAGAGTAGTTGATGTCTTTCTTAGAGAATCTCTATTAAGTTACACTATATTATGGAGATTGTGTGAGCTCCGTAGACTACAACTACTTTAACACTTATGGACAATGCTTTATGGAAAGAGAGCTCCAAAGAATAAATACATAAACAAAGTGTAGAACTTGAAAATGTGTCATCATTTAGGTGATTGTACCATCTCCACAAGTTGACTAAGGTTCAACCTGGCAAGTGCCAACAAATACATAAGGTCGAGAACTTGGGTATGAAAACTTGAGCCAGATGAGGATATCATCCTAATCAACGAGGAACTCCTTTTCAATCCGTTTTGGAAACTTTGGAATTAATGGTGATTAGTTTTAGGCATAATATACTTGTATAGCCAAAACTTTCGCGTTTTTGTCAATAGTAGCCAATTTTAGAGAAATACCACTTATAGCCACTTCCGTCCAATTCTTTAACGGTGTCAGCTAACAAGCTGACTGGACTAACGACTTTGCTTATTTGGCGACATTTCATCAACAACACTGCCACATAGATTAATATAAAATAAATAAAAATAAATTTAATGAAAATAAAAAAATAATTAAAAACCATTTAATAAAAAGCTCCACTTGCACCAAAAACCAAAAAACCAAAAAAAAAAAAAAACAAATCTCTCCACCTACCCTATGCTCCATCATCGTCCCCATTCTCCACTGCTCCAAGAACCCCGAAACCTTCTCTCCTTCAAAGCCAAAAACCCAATAAATCTCTTCACCTACCCTCTGCTCCATCATCGACCCCATTCTTCACTGCTCCAAGAACCCCAAACCCTTCTCCCTTTCAAAGCCAAGAACCCCAAATCCCTGCACCTACCCTCCTTTGACGAGATTATTTAAACCCCTAAAAAAATCCCCATCCAATGCTCTCCCACCCGCCACTGCTCTATACGTCGACAAAAAACCAATTGTCGACCCTCTGCAAATCATCATCCTCAATCACCACGTCATCAGTAACAGTAATGAGCGGAGATGGAGAAGCAGGCGCCGTCAGGTCCAAATCGCCGTGGCCCCATCCTCTTCTTCAACCCCTACTTCAAATCCATGTTCAATCGTCGTCGCCTACTCCCACCCCTTCTGCCGCGCCGTCCATATCTGCTTTCCAAGATGAAGAACTCATCTAAGTGTTCCGAATCGGCGAGATTGCAGTGTAGACGCCATAGTCGGCAAGAACTTTGTTCTATAATTTCATATTTTGACGACGACGGTGGTGAGAAACATGGGCGTTTCGAAATAGAGAGTGGTCGAAGACTGTACTTCCTCGCTGGGTTCTCCAACTGGGATCCTTGACTGAAACAGGGGCAAAATTGGATCTACTGGCAGCCCGGTTCAGGGGCGATAGATTCAGGGGCAAAGGCGATGGAGGATTTGGGTATGGGGTTTAAGAATATGGGTGGGGTATTCATTATTGAGAGCTCGTAGAGAGAGTTTTGGGAGGATGAAGAACTGGCTGAGGGGGATTTTCAGGGTGGCGGCGGTCGGATTTTCAGGGCGGTAGGAAGGTTTGTGACGGTGGAAAGAAGAAGATGAAGGGGAGAGATCTCTCTTCTTATTTATTTTTTTTGTCTTGGAAGAAGAAGGAGATGGAGAAGAGATCTTTAAATTAAATGGAATGACATAATTTGTTTTTTACTTTAAATTGTGACTTGGCTGCCATGTGGCATGGTACGATCTATGTGGACATGATGTGTCGTTTAGGTGGCAGCCACATCAGCCTAACGTCTACTTCACTGACGGAATAGTTGACGGTGTTAAAGTATTTGATGGAAATGACTAAATTAGTCCAATAAGTTTTAAAAATGTGGCTATAAGTGGTATTTCTCCAAATTTAGCTATTATTGGCACAACATGAAAGTTTTGGCTATACAAGTATATTTTGCCTAAGTTTTAACTAGTTAGAATAAGAGAGAGCAATCTTTGCACAAATCATCTAAGCTCTTAATATATTGGCCGAGAAAGAAAACAAATGTTTCTCGTGACTGTTATGCTAGGCAAGGTGAAGCAACTAATTTTTCAAAGTTATGAACTTATTTGGACCCCTTTAGCAAGCTCATTTAAGCCGAAATGGATTCCATACTAAATTGTGCCTAACTTAGAGTCTTTCTAACTCGATAAAGCCGGCCACAAAGGCACAAACCACTAAATTAGGTCATTCCTCTCCCAAGTTCAGGATAACTGATCCCTAGCCCCTAGTTCTTCAAGGAAACAAAATATCGCTTGTGTTCCGTTTTATTGGGGTTTGATAACCTGGAGAAGAATGCAGTGCCAATCACAAACTTCTGATCCCTAAAACCAATGATTGAGTCCTAGAAGGTAAGTGTTTACAATTTAAATTTATTGTGTACCACATTGATGAGTTACAAGGTAATTAATAATCTTGTAAGGTCGTTTTTAATATTATTTAAAATGGGTCTCATGTTACTA